GCGTTTACTTCACGGCTTTTCCCGTGATAGGAACGATTCCACCGCTTGTGTCCCTTGGACTGATTTTCCTGCTTCGGGGATGACTTATTGAATTCCCAGAGACGGTTGTCTAGCTGGATAACGGTCTCAATCATAGTTGTGATGTTCGGAAAAGTCATATTTTGTCTTGCCATCTCCTCGCGGAGATGCGTCTTGAGTCCCCTTTGGAATAATTCCATGAGTGCAGGGGCGTCCCACCCTGATTTGTTCCCATAACGCTGGAACTCGGGTCGGGGTAGAAGCGGGTAGGTTACGTAGGGGGAGGGAGTAAAAGCCTACTACTAGAAGCCTTTATAAAGAGGGTCTAGGTATTAAGATAAATAAGTAGATTATTTATAAATAACTTAGATTTTACCTTATAACTAGGCTTATTCTTAGTTTTTATAAACTATTATAATAAAGCTAATATTTTATACTAGTTCTTAATAAAGTATAAGAGAGTTACCTAGAGTATTCTTACCTAAGAACTATATATAGTTAGCTAAAGATATGATATAGCTATCTATATTAAAACTACCTTGTCTTAAATCCTAGATTAATCTATTCTACTCGAAGGTTATATAGACTCTAAGTTAATATATAATTACTTTATTAAACTTAGTACTACTAAGGAAAAGAGATTAATGATAGATATAATATATAATGTATTTAAAAATAAGAATATTAACTACTTAACGTAGATCGAGGGTAGGGGATAACCCCGCTAACGTAATAATAAAGTCGAAAGTAAATAGCGCTTTAAGGAACCTAATTATTATAAATATAATTAGGATATAAGTAAACGCTTAAGTAGAAAGGAGCTAAATAGACGTTATAGAATTCGCTATTATTTTATTATTTTATTATTTTACCATATTTTTACTTTATAAAGTATTACTAGGATTATAATATATTCTACTCCTTTAGTCACGTTATATAGACCTACTTCGTTCAAGTACTTAATACTCGAACGCTTATACTCTTTTGGCTCCTTAATAATCGAATTATAGAATATACTACCTATTACTTGTTTACCTTATCCTATTAGATTCCCTCTAGGAACTCGACAGATATTGTCACGAATCACGTGCTCACGTGATACTTGTCATAATAAGAGGCGCAACCCTCGACAGGCATACCCAGGTTTCTTATAGCAAATAGGGATCGCTTAGGGTAGCTAAGCGATCCAGGGATTTCCATTGGTTATGGTCACATGATTAAGTTGGATCGCTGGATCGCTCGGCGACCTAGCGAAACGGACCGCCAGCTCGACAGGCGAGTTGGCTACCCAGATCATAGTACTTGAGGATGAAGGTTCTATATAAGACTGGCACGTCTGCCATTAGATAGGAGCTTCGTGCTCAACTTAGTTATCAATCTTATCATATTTGTTTGACATCTTTGATACACGTAACGAGTTCACTTCCAAGTGAACAACCCGATAGTCTTCTTCTTATCATAGCATACCAACCAGCGAACACCCAGCCAAGTTTAGTTAGCCAGTTTGAGTATTCGTTACAGATATCTCTATACTAACAATGATATAATCTGTTGAAATCATAATAGTATATAACTATTACAGAACGCGTACCCTAGAGTTAGCCGAGACACCCTTTACCCGGAACTCTTTAACTCTACTGTCTGTTCCTGTCTCGCCTACCTAACGTTGATATGCTTTTCTATCAAGATACATATGTACTAACTCTCTCTCAATCTCTTCTTTTGTTCTTGACATAGTATTCTTGATTAAAGGTTATTCGTATCTACTGGTTGTCCTTAGATTCTGCTCCAGGCCACATTCTTAGCCGCTTACATGCTGCTTTGGCCGCCAAATCCAGCAGGGTACATTGTAAAATTTAGTGCATTGAAGTTCAAATGGAGGGTTTACAGGGCTTTGCCTAGACTACTAGTCTGTCTTACTTTGACACCTCACTAGGACTAATATCTGTCTTCCACTTTTAGAGATTCTTAGAATTAAATAATGTTATGGTTTATATTCTTAGTGACTCTATGGTAGACTAGCGGGCCGATGTATTGTCAGCCAAGTTGTCACGAATCACATGCTCACGTGATACTTGTCATAATAAAGAGGCGCAACCCTCGACAGGCACATCCAGGTTTCTTATAGCAAATAGGGATTGCTTAGGCCAGCTAAGCGATCCATGGATTTCATTTGGTTGTTGTCACGTGATGGACCCCGATGGATCCAGGAGGGATCCAAAGGGATCCACGGATCCAGAAGGGGTCCAGTAGAACGAAGGTTCTATATAAGACTGGCACGTCTGCCATTAGATAGGAGCTTCGTGCTCAACTTAGTTATCAATCTTATCATATTAGTTTGACATCTTTGATACAAGTAACGAGTTCACTTCCAAGTGAACAACCCGATAGTCTTCTTCTTATCATAGCATACCAACCAGCGAACACCCAGCCAAGTTTAGTTAGCCAGTTTGAGTATTCGTTACACAAGTCTAAAATGTGACCGCTTTTTTCAGTCACGATTTCGTCATTGACTTCCCCCCTATTCAAGTGTTGGTAAGCGAGGAGGTGAACGCTATGTTATCAAAATGTGGTCATTTATTTTTCTTCTTCACACATAGAGAGACTCGGAACAAACAAAATCGGGTATCATTTCGCCCTCCATCTGAACACTTTGAACGAACAGCAACAAAAGAAAAACGAGACCAGGTCTATCTAACCCCCTCCAAGATACTTCTCCACATCGTCATTCCGATAAAACATCTCCCTCAACCTTTCCGTCTTCCTCTTATCCGTTTCATACATCTTCTTCACCATCCCCGCATCATACTTCTCTGTCTTCACTTTCTTCCTCCTCTCACTCTCATTGGGTAACACAACACCTATCCCCATTTTGTCGTCTTTTGGTTTCGTTTTGATGGGAAATTGTATTCCTTGTCCAGAAGCTCCTAGACCCAGCCGCGAATCGGGATCCCACCCGTAGGAGGAGAGATATGCGAGGCCCTTTCGGTTGCGGTCGATGTGTGAGGGTGGGTAGCTGTGTGTAAGACAGACTTGGTGGGCTAGAGAAGCTTCATGTGGATGAGGTTTTGAGTCCAGAGGAGGTGAATCTGTGAGATCTGTGTTGCTTGATTTTGAAGCATTATCAGATAAGACCGGTAGGTTGCATATTTCGCAAACCTGCGGTATTGCAGGCTTTTTGTCTTTCAAAGTCACAGCCCACCCGTCCGGCTCTTGCCCGGGAGATACTGCCTTTTCATCTGTACTCAGTGGATCCGATGGGAGCACCAGCTTTAGGTAGAGATCACTGACAGACTTGGCGGAAGTATTGCTTGCAGGAGTCCTCGTGGCGGGGTCGTTTGATGTTGACGGTACGAATTTCACTCTCTTGCGCTTGATTCCTGCGCCAAATACCCTTTGGTCTTGTAGTGGGATCTCATAGGTATCATCCTCATCAGACATAGTGCCAGGCGGGACACGCGCGAATATTTGGACGTGTTGATGGTAGACGGGTAATAAGAGGGACGTTGGAGAGAAATGACGATGATCAACTTCGGAGCCGATGTTATCAAATTGCGCTAAATTTAAGCTTAAATTTTACCCCTGCACGCTGGCGCCAATGCCAAGCCTAAGCTGGTGACGAAGTGTCAACTATTTTTAGCCCATCCCCTTTCCCTGCTGCGATTATTTCGCACAGGTCAAAAAAAGGCACGAAGGGTCAGCCGCGTTCACAACACCCTTCCCGATTCATCAAAATGCCGATTCCTTTTCTGTCGACGGCTATCTGGTATGGTATACCAGGTATGCCAAGTAGGTGGACGATTTTCTGCGGCTTCCTCGCGATTGTCGTCCTCTCCTTCGTCAAATGGGTTTCCATGGGCACAACAAACACATCGGAGAGAAAACTCCATGGGAAAGTGGTGATACTCACAGGAGGAACGTCAGGGATAGGAGCAGCGACGGCACTGGACCTAGCATCACGAGGCGCACAGTTGATACTCCTCGTCCACCAATCGCCCTCGGATTTATTCCTCGTCGACTACATTGACGATCTGCGAGAACGATCAGGAAACCATATGATATACGCGGAGCAGGTGGACTTGTCATCTCTGTGGAGCATACGGAAGTTTGCGACCAAATGGATCGATAACGCACCACCTCGGCGACTCGATATGATTGCTCTATGTGCCTCGACTCTTACTCCACCCGGCAGATCTCGCATCATGACAGAAGAGGGACTGGAAGAGACTTGGATGGTTAACTATCTTGCCAATTTCCATCTACTCAGCATTCTCAGTCCGGCAATTCGAACACAGCCCCCGGACAGAGACGTAAGAATTATTTTCACGACGTGTTCAGCCTATATAAACTCACCCGCGATTGGAGATGGAAGCGATGCGCTCAAGAAGAAGGAATGGTCGCCTTCGAAAGCCTATGCCCGAAGTAAATACGCACTAAATGTTTTTGGACACGCCTTTTCGAAACATCTCGACGCATACAAGCGACCTGATGGAGCACCTACAAATGCGCGTGTTGTATTTGTGGATCCTGGATATTGCCGGACACCGGGTATGCGAAGGTATCTCACACGGGGAACCCTTTGGGGGTTGTCAATCTATTTGGCATTATGGCAGACCGTATGGCTTTTGTTGAAGAGCCCGGAAGGAGGTGCTCAGAGTTTCTTGTATGCGGCTATGGAAGCTACCCTTGGTCGTGGCTACGGAGGAAAGTTAATCAAGGAATGTCGAGAAATGGCATTTGCAAGAAAGGATGTCACGGATGAGAAGATTGCAGAGAAGCTTTGGAAGGGAACTGAGAAGCTCATTGAGAAGACTGAGAAGGATGAGGCTGTGAAAAGGTCTTTGAAAAAGAAGGAAGAGAAGGAGGCAAAGGAGGCAAAGGAGGCAAAGGAGAAAAAAACTTCATCTGAGAAGGTCGCGCCTAAAGCAGATTCAAATGGCAATAGCGACAGTAAGAACGCCAAATCACGTAGGCAGAAGAAGGCGAAATGATTGCCAAGGTTTCATGTTTCAATTATGTACTGTACAAAGTATTGACATAGCATAGCAGCGGCGTTGGAGGCTGAATCGTGTTATTATATAGAAGCGATGTCCTAATTTATCACGGGGATCCGTATGTCGGTCTCTCACCTTCACTCTGAAACAACTCTTCGAGTTTTGATTCACCATTTTAGGATTATCTTTTTTTCATGGAATTGGCCATTTCGACGACAGATTGACGCCTCTCCCAGACATCATGACCTCGAAAATAACTTCACTACTTCTGTAGCTCACCCTCAATAGCCAATATTGGTATGTAACGGGTCGTGAATTTGTGGAAGAAAAAGGTCGGCAATGCTGGTACAAATTTATCTCGACTCTTGCCCCACACTCTGCAGGTATCAACTTCCAACGACGCCACACTGCGCAACACACAGTTATGTGAGCCTGTCAGCCTGATATATCGAGAGAAGTCGCTGGTATTTCATGAGGCGAAAAAGTCATTGCTCTCTCTCGGATCCCTTAAGAAGCAACCATTATTGCGCGCCCAAATTTCGGTTCGTTTTCCACTATGTATTTATGCCATGTCGCCACACGCGCCTCATTAAGAATGCCTCATTTTCTCTGCCTAACCAGATAAATAACTACTTGCAGCACACAATTATTTGTTTACATGTGCGAAAGTCGAACGATGGTTGCGCCAATAATATCAGGTTGCATCACGACAAGTCCCTGGAGGATTCAATGTAGGCGCAGCTCTCTGTAGGATCTACTGTGCCCATTCCTTGTACCTCTTTGCGACCCTATTTTCACCAACCGAACTCGTATCATGACCGTACCAGTTCTTTTTAATTTAATACCCTGGAATACCGGTCGTGGCCTAGGTCTTTCCAGACATCCAAGTTTCCATAGTTTCATCGATTGATTCCTTGCGGCTCCTCTACACTCCTACTCGAGTAGCGAACCGCAATAGAAACTCTCGTTTCGGTGCGAGTTTGGGTGCTGTGCCATATACATGTTGGGGTCATGAGAGGGCCTCGTTTCGCAGTAATTTGATCGGTTTCTCTCTTTTGGCCTCAGCATTCTTTCTTCATCATTTTGTCGTTTTATCGACACCACATTCGTTTTGTTTCTGGGTTTTTTGTGGGGGGCTTGATGTTTGGATTCACGATATAGAACTTACTTTCTTACCATCATTCTTAATATCGCACCAGTATACTGCAGTATGCCTCAAGAAACTCGCGAAGGACGTCCATACTCGGAGTACAACAAGAATTCAATAAGGAGACAATCATGGAGCCAACACAGCAGCCCTGAGCATCGTTCATCATCTCAAGATCACCTACACAGTCCAGTTAGTGACAATGTATCTCCCATCTCAGCACCCATCTCGCCACAGATTTCCCCCTTGACAACACTGAGACAGTCTCAACAATTCGAATACCAGAATTTCCGCCCGCAGCCACAACATATATACACCGATAGCGATTTTACAAAAGAAGAACCAAGGGCAGTAAATCTCGCCTCACCTGAGACGTTGGTGGCTAAAAAACCGATTACCGTGACGATTCGAACGAGAGTTCCGACGCCTGTTGAGATACCACCTCACACTATACAGAACAATAGGATAAATGAATCGACGGAGGAGTTGAAAGATTTAGGCAACCATGTTGATATCCAGGGACGGAGGAGGTCATCGACAGTGATTATTGATGGGTTATCGAGATGGTCTGAGACGATTTATGCAGTGGTATATTTCATTATCCCAGTGTTATTTCTTGTTCTTGCTATAAGTCTGGCAACTCTTCATGGACGACCTACCGATGGGCAAAAGAAATGGGGCATATATCTTAATTGGATGCAGATTGTAAGGCCTAGCTATCGTATTTCCACCGTATCTCTTTCTAATGATTCGCAGGCTGGCACTCTCTACCCCATTTTCTTTGCCCTGTTGGTAGGTCGGGCACTCGTCAAGATAGCCGGATACCAACTAGAACGCGGTACCACTCTCCTTCATCTAGAACAGCTCATGGGAAGCCGAACTGTGAGCGGAGCATTTGATACTCAAATCAAGCTTCGATCTTTCAATATCCTTGGATTCGGCCTCATTATTCTCTTCATTTTTTCTCCTGTCGGTAGTCAAGGGTTCCTCAGACTTCTTGGAGCAAGAAACATATCTAAAACTTCATCGTCTACAGTGTCATACTTCACTACTGATACACAGTCCCTTTTTGCGCAGGGGAATACTATAGCCCCTGACTCCGTTCAATCTTCTATCTTTCGGTCTCTATATACCGCAGCTGTCCTCTCTCCTGCGTCAGTAAAGACCTCACCCATGGACCTTTGGAGTAACATAAAAATACCCCTGCATTCCTCGCTTACGGAGAACGATGGCGACTGGACAATCATATCACCAAACGATACCATTATATACAGTTCCCTCGTTGGTATCCCAATAGGAGGGTTACAAAATGGCGAAACGACCTTGGAACTCGAGAGTAGTTATATCGAACTGATCTGCTCCTCTCCAACTCCACAAGCCCAACCAACATATCTCACCCCCTTTACGCGCGATAGCGATGCCTACAGTTCGCCCATCTCCTCTAACAACGATACATTCTATGGAGCAAGTCCGGATTACAGAAACAATACCATGAATACAACGGCAACATGGTCTTTAGGAATGAAAGGCTTTATATCCCCACTGTACAACTCGCCACTTTCTTCACACACGAGTTCACCAGCACAAAAATATTGCACACCACACAATGAAAGCAAATCAGCAGCAGGAGACCAGCAATACCTCACAGCACCCTGTGCCCTCCGATTTCTTTCCCCCGAACAAGTCCAACCCAGTACACTGCTATTCCAATCCACTGGCCAAGAACCCGTTCAAGCGACTTGCACACCAGACACCATCTACGTTCGCTCCCGTATCCTCTGCACATCCACGAACGATAAAACCCCAAGTTGTCACGTAACAGCACAACGACCCTCAACCCCCTCCCATGCCCAGAACTCCCTTACCGCGCTAGCATTCCCCGAAATCTTCGAAGCAATATCTCTCGGTCTCCCACGTGCATTTCATGCCGCAGGCCTAGAGATCATAGACGAAACAGGGACCGATCCGTCAATTTCCTACCTCATTAATGCGGATACCAGTACAGCAAGTTTGATACCAGATACCAGAACAGGAACGGAATATAGCACTTCTAATATCCCGCCTTCCCTCCTTTACCTGCCTCCCGCCACGTTCTCACATCACCTTTCACAATTAGTGAATACGTATTACACGCTTTCCCAGGCTTATCCCTATATTACATCCCCTTCGTCTCTCTCCTCCCTTCCAGCCCCAACGACGACGGCAGATGTGACGGTTACCACGGAGGTGTACCGGGTTTCTTGGCCGTGGTTTGCGTTTTTGATGCTGGGCTTAGTGATTATGGGGGGTGCTAGTGTGATGGGTACGATTGTGGGGAGGATGAGTAAGGAGAATTTTGAGGTGGTGGAGGGCTTGGGGTTTGTGAGTGAAACTTTTAGGACTGGAAGGGAGAGAGATAAGGATGTGAGGGTTAAAATGGGGGATGGAGGGAAACTGGTTATTCTCGGGGAAGGTGATGGAGAGGGTGAGAGAGTGGGTAGGGATATAGTTTGAGAACTAGGGGGAGGGATTTTGTTCAGGGCGTAATTGATTCTGGTAATGGCGAGATTTAGTTTTTATTATCGCTTCTTGGAGTTTAGATAGATACAGAATTGACCGAGTCTGAAGTTAGTGAAGGACAGATATTCATATTGGAGGTGCGGAGTGGTTTGAGGTAGAAATAGCTGGCGCTATAATTCTTACGTACCTTTAGCATATCGAGATTTGGGAAAATAAACAGAGATTCTCGCTTGTGAATTTAGGCACTTAATACAAATCTCTCGTAGTCAGCAAAGAAAGCAAGTGTGTACTATGTCCTTGTTATTACCCCTTTATAGGTGCAGGGTGTTAAATTCGAATAGTTGAGTTACACAGCGCGAATGGCTAGTCTACTCAAATCGACAAGTACTTACTTGACTTAATTATTATTTAAGTAGTATAAAACAAGCCGACCTGACTTCGCGTAGCGCCTTCTGTATTCCTATAACACTCTACCCAAGTGGTACTCAAGTCTAAATAAACAGCTGATCAAGTTTTGGATATGCTTTATGGGTGTAAAGCCATTTGTAGTCGGGTTTACAAACCCCTAGTTCGCTTGACAAGTGACCTAAAACTGTTTGGAAAATTATTGCAATTCTCTCAAAACTCTCAGCGGAAGTTGTAATCGCTTGAAACTATTACAATACATTTCTCGTGAAAGTACACGGATAAGAGACCAACTGCTGCCGCGCTTTCTAACCACCGCATGCCCCTGACCCGGTGACCAAAGGCTTCCCTTCCCATGTATCTTACAATTGATAAGACGCCATGCTAATTTCAAAGTAGCTAATACTGTTTCCAAGATAGGTCGAGATCAAAAGGGTGGCTCAAAGCATTCGATGGATCCGGGAGGGTCCTCTCAAGAAATATCACTTATTATGGCGGGGAGTGGTCAGTAAAACTTCTAGCAGATAAAAGAGCATCTGGGGCAATCAATGGCCTATTAATAAATCCGGAAAACGACTATATCCTCGTAAGCGGACACAAGACTGCGGAAATTTGGACCGCGACCGGCGAGTTAGTTGGAAAATCAGCAACCAACTTTCTGCATTTGGAGCAAGTTCTTCAAGATCCTCATCAGCCTGACAGATTCCTAGTAATCGAACGGTCTACGACTTCCCTGTATTGTTGGGAAGATTTCCAACCAGTGGAACTATCCAACAAAGTAGCCCTTGAAGCATATGAATCTTCAAGTAGAAGTACAACCACGACCTTCCACGGGCCCAACTACCTCATTAAATTCACAAAATCACAAGGGAACAAAGCCAAATCAACACTACAATTCTACCCTTCAACAATATTCAATGACCCCGAAGTCTCTCCCGCACCACTTCCTGGCTACGAGATTCTCGGTCCATTCGTTGAACATTTCATCTCCATCACCGAAAACAAGCTTCTCTTCATCAACACAGACCTCTGGGTGTGTAGCCTTGACCTGAAAACGTTCGCAGCAACACAAGAAGTCAAGCGTCATTTCTTTATTCCTTCAAATTGGCAAGTAGCCTCTGGGGAAATAATGATTTCCTTCACGGCGAAAAAGGATTTTGTGTTTGTTAAAAGGAGTGAGTTGGTGATCATTAGCCGAGGGTTGGATTTTTCGGATGTCTTTACGCTTTCTGGTGTGCCAAAAGATTTGTATCGCTAGTTGAACCTACAATATACTGTATAAAGCAAGAAATTAAAAAGCTTATAATAAATTAAAAATACCTAAAAGACTCCTAATAGCGTACATCGTATCTAAACGCTTAAACAAGAGTAATTCGTTCGCAAAAGACAGTATCTTCTTAGTAAAATAGTAATTCTTATAAATAGACTCTATACTAGATTAAGAAGTTACTACCTAAATTATTAATCTCTATATATACCTATACTAGAATATTACTCTAACAAAAAAATAAGAAAAGTAAATACTTAAATACTTTACTTTATTTATTATCTTACCCTTTATATCTAGAAGAAAATTAAATACTACTAACCTCCCTTTACTTACCTAACCTTTTCTAAAAAAAAATCATTCTAAACCCTAATAGATTTACCCCTAATAGAAGTATATAGAACCTAGATCTTAAGAGGTATACTCGTATTTATACTAGGAATAAGTATTTTACAGACGTCCCTTAGGACACTTATAGCAATTAAATCATTATTCAAATCCAAGTTCTTCTACTAACCATCCCAATATCCATCTCAACCTAACCCTACCCCATCTAAACCCCCACTCTCCCCCACTCTCCCCCGCGCTTACTCGTACACTACCCATACACAAACCCCACAAATCCCCTCCAAAAACCCCCAACCTATAAAAACACCCTTCATCACCCACCCCTCTACGCGCCTTACGCGCTTACCTTTCCCAAAACTCCCCATTTTTCTATGATACCCACGAAACGAAGCGAAGCGAACCAAGAAAAGGGAACCAAGAAAAGATATGACTATTGGCTAGGAAACCCAACCCAAACTTTAGGCGCTGGTGCTGCCGCTGCCGCTGCCTGGTCCCAAAAAAACAGAAACAAAAGTGAGGCCACACTGTACACTGCACGTTGATGGGTACCTACAGTACATACCTACGCTATAACCCGACGTTCTCACACACGCGAAGAGTAAAGGTAAACCGGATAAGAATAAAGAAATGTTTGAGCTTTGAGGGACCGGTCGAAAGTGGGACTGGACTGGGGTAATGTATCCACAATAACACGATACGATTCGATACGAAGCCCTTTAGAAACCTGGGGCACGAATGTGGGGTGGAGGGGAGGCATAACTTCGTACCTACGCAAGTAAAACTTGACCTGCGAAGTAAATGTAAGAAAGTGGATACCTATATTTTCTAGGCAAGAGGATTTTGGAAAGAGGAGTCAGGGGAAGGAAAGGAAGGTAAATAGAGGGGTATCTTGGATCTGCAAGTCAGAGCTTTGGAGGGGGTCGTTTCGAGGGCCTACAGACTGTAGCTGGGGGAAGGTGTAGTATGAGTGTGAGGGTATATTGGAAATTAGGAATGAAGGTATTCCGACTCCGACTCAGAATGTGTTGTCCGCGATCCATTCGAGCCTCTAACCACCTTCAGATATAATCCAGGCTTAAGCTCCCTCAAACAAGTTTCGGTGCGTGCTAAAGTGAGGAAGGAGGTGGATGTGTTGTCAATCCCAACAACGTGACTTGCAAAAAACATCACCCGATAAAAAACACATCCATGTCTGTCGAGAGGGACACCAAGCAGGGCTCTCCAAGGCGATCGATCCCCAGTCTCAGCCGCATCCATCCGCCTTCACAATTCCCCGTTCACAGTTCCAGTAAACCAGTGGGATAGGTAGTGGAGAGGAGCCGTGGGGAGTCACTCAGTCAGGTCACCACCTGCTCCCATTATTCCCGCCAGCGCATCGCTTCGTGAGACTTTTTTTTCACGCAACCTCGGCTCGGGGACAAGGCTGTGTTGCCTCGTTTTGGTTGATTGGAAGATCCTTTTCTCAGGATTTGGTGTACGAGTACTGCGTAATTTTCTTACGTCTTGAATCTGCCTATGGGACCGGAAGGATTATGATTGGATGTGATTTGACCTCTTGAACGACGAGCTTTGGGGGGATATGGTGATGGCTATGCTCGTATATTCGTACCGAATGGATGGGTACAATATCCGGGAGTTCTCCACGGTACCTTTTGACGTGAAGTTAATTGTATTGTTGCCTCGCATTTCCCCCTTTCCGGGGTCCTTCTGAAAGATAGGATGACGCACGACGCACACGACCAGAATATGAGAGGATAAGCAAATGTAAGCGGCTGCAGGCGGCCGACTTTATGGTTGCATGGTGGCCTATGGATTACGGGATTACGGTGGTGTAACAATGTAAGAATGGCCCCGGAACGTTTTTGGCAGCAACGTACGGGTGCGTAAATCAACTCTGGTCGTGCCGAGCCGTCGAGGGCCTTCCATTCGTCCCGATGCAGATTATCTGACATGTAGGTATGCGATATGCCATGCAAAGGCTGGGATTCCTTATCAATTGATGCTCTCACCGTCCATTTCGTTTAATTCTTATTGAGGCTGGCAAATCCCAACGGTGATCTGATGATGATGATTTCATGTCGCTTCGCTTCGCTCACTACTGCCTGCTCAACTCTGACAGCAAGCACAAGCACAGGCGCTATACTGTATTTCCCGGTGACGGTGATTGCCATACTTCGCCTCTGGTGTACAGTACAGTACTGCCTGATATCAAATCAGAGCTGATCCTCAGCACGTACCAAATCAGAGCCCAACTCGCCTCTGGTTACCAGAATCATCGTGACTCAGAGATCTCTTTCTGATATATCATACTACCCAAGATCCAATGCCATTGCATGTACCGTACTGCACTGCAACATCAGCTGGGAGACTCGTTTGGAACTTTCAACACCCAGCTGAAGTCGATGATTCCAATGACTGCTGTTCTCGTACTCAACATATACCTTCAAAAACTAATATTGGATAGATAACCGAAGACAGGGGAACTTCCTCGGAGGCGCGGGTTGAGATGGTGCTGGTGCCTGAGGAACTGCACAAGCGAAGGAGGGAGAAGCCCAACCAACTCGTTTCCCTTGACAGGAATGTGTACGCTCGTCCTTCGCATGATTATCATGATATCCAAGGCAAATGAAGCTATCATCAGGCAGAGCGTCAGCCGGGAACATTCCTCGCAATTCTTGTCCCTATTTCCCGCAGGTTCAGTCAAATGGAGTGCGTAGACAGTAATCCGTCCACTCATAGGTAGACTTCTGGTACTCGTCTTCCATCCCTCGGGGGTGACAGTATTACCCAGTTCCGTGATCAACCTTTAGCCTTCGGTTCACGAAAGGGGAGGCGAGAGTCTGACGATACCTGCTGATCTCAGGGTTGGCCCTGATGGCGAGGAAGGATGACGAGGAAGAGGATCGTTGCCATAGTGTTGGTTTGGTGTTGTATTTATTTGACTTTTCCAAGTCTTGATGGGTAGAATGGACCTGGTATTCCCCAGACGGAGTACATTCTGATATGCGCCATGTGCTGCCCCACCCGTATATAGAAGTGTCTTGTACCAAGTTATTGTGCTCTTCTCCCCATCGGCGCATCCCAAACATCACTCATTACGAAGAGTGAATGATTGGCTGGCATCGTGGGGCCACTGAGCCAAAAGCGAGTTAGATGGTCCTTGGTGGTGACAGACCGCCTTTTGTCAGTCCCGTCAGGTTGATAGGGCAGGGCCTAGTCTCGGTGCTCCAGAATCCGATCTTACCTTATTTCCTCTACCTGTTCCTCTCCAAACACCACTACCGCTACCACCACCGACGTCCCCAATACTGTGACTTCCTCCAACCGATTGCTGATTGCTCTCTGCGACAGTATTGTCCATTGAGCCAGCCCTGAGAGAAGGCAAGTCGCTTTTTTCTCAATTACTCCACCAAATCTCCAGTCGGCACCCAGCGGCACCCAGTCCGAACGTGAAGCCGACATCAACGCGCATCGCCCGCAGGACAGTACCAGTTCCGTACCGCACACGCTCTCCCACTTACTATACACTACACGTCCTACTTACAATACACTACACGACACGAACCGACCCACGCGCATCGCATACTGACTCCTTCCCCTCCCTCCGCATTCTCAACCACGAAAATGGGCAAGATGCTGCTGCAATGCCTGCATGCAAGCAGATAACCAGTGTCTAGCCTTCTGCGACCAGGGCACCAAATCTCCAATCTCCAAAAACAACTGCACATACATCCAAACCGATCGCTACCAAACACCATGTCTTTGCTTGGGAAATTGCTCTCTGGCACAGGTGCCACAACACCAAAATCCAAGAACCCTCTAGACTCCCATTTGGAGGACCAATTCACCCACAATCTTCTATTTCCCGACTCAGAGGCACTCTGCCACAATGACCAAATCTTTCCACTCTCCACCGAAACTCTTCTCACTCCCGCCTCCATCACTAATTTCGACGTCAATGGCGAGATCGATCTGGAGATGCGTGATGTGAGAGTCATAATCATGCAGGAGGCCACTCCAATGACTGGCTTGCCTACTCTCCTTTACGATACTCATACCCCCCCTCCTACCTCGCCAACTCCAGATCGGCAGGCGCCTCGCAATGGCTCAGTATTTCCACCTCGCCCTGAAGCGAGACGCTCTATGAGCTCAGCAAGAAAGCCGAGTGTAGGACAAAATGCAAGACCAGCGGTGGTACAGCAAGAGCAGACTCCACCAGCCCCTCCACAACGATTTGGCGCTTTCAATCGCAAACCCGTCCACACTATGGAGACTGGTATCACAGAGACGGATGGGCAGCGATCATTGAGGGAGTACAGAGAAGAGGTCACCACATTTGGCAATTGCATATTTGGAACTTCTGAAGTACTGGCGTACAAGGGTACGACATGCAAGATGCACCTGCTCAAGAGCCCCGACCATATTCCACCTTACTCCAGCTCTTATATGGGCGATATGAGTAGCTCTTTTGGAGGATCCAGCATACGTGGAAGCAGCAAGCTGTCACAATCCTTTACTTCAGACAACTATGCGCAACCTTCCGCATCGGCTGGTTACATGAGCCCAAGCATGACAAGAGGAGGCGACAGAAAGAAAGTATTGGTTACACGGATGTTTCCTGTTCCATTACTCAACGACGAAGAAACAGACGAAGATTCTGCATCACAAACCGTCACACCAACAGCAGGAAATGTCGAACCAAACGAATCTTCTGGTTACCCATTTCCAAAAGTTGGCGTGAGCACTGGATCGCCAAAGAAGGTTCAGCCCAAGCAGAAGCGAACTCCAATGTATGCAGTAGGACTCGTGATCCAACTACCATCAGCCTCTCATGCTCCTCCTTCCATGCCGACCTCTAGATCAAGTTTTCGAGGCCCGAGTTCGTACAATGAGCAAGAGTCTTGTCCCTCATCATTCAACTCAACTCGACGTGCAGGTTGGAGCATCGTCCATGGCTTTGGAGCAGATTCCTTGGAGGCATCCTACTCGACTGAAGTAGATGATCGTGTCGAACTTGTCACTAAACATTGGGATATTATTATGCGCACCCTCTCTCACATGCAAGGAGTAGCTACCGCCGCATTATTGCCTCTACTCAAGCAAGCCGATGTCAGCTCACCTATGTATCGCAGTCCTCATGTCCGAACACCATCTGCCAGCGTCTCTATCTCTGGAAAACGAGTCACTGAGGAAATTAAGCCGTTCAAACCACCAAAGACGAATGCAAAGTTGGTTCAATTGACGGCAAATTGTTTGATGCATGTTCAAGTAATCCACAAAGAAGCAGATCTCACTCGGCAGCGGGTTCTTGGTGGTATTAAGACAAGTCAGGTCATCACTTGTCAAGGCCGATGGGGAATCTGGCGTGAGGAAGCAAGATTGGTTGGAAAGTGGGCCGGATCGAGAGATGAAGGCTTTTTCTTTTTCAATTTATTGACAGGCTTTCTTGGTAATCATACAGAATGGCTTCACTCGCTAGGCCCAAGCTGGTATCGACAACGACACTATCAGCGTCATAAGTCCAACAAGGATGATGAGATATGTCTTCCAGCTCGTACGATTATTGTTTCTGATAACAAATTGATGGCCCGAAGATTGATATTCTTACTATCATCTTTCCTGCCCCCAAGCCAGCAGCTCAGTCATCTGCGTTATCGGCCCAGCACCTCCGCATCGTTTGGCGCATGTTCTCAATCTCCTCCAAATTATGTAGTTCCAATCCTGAGAGAAGAACCCCTTCGCAGAAGGATCAATAAGAAAGCTAGCGATGGAAGAATTATCCATCCTCGAACCATGGGTTTTCCTGCCGAAACACCACAAACTCCACCACATGCCCTTGAATCACGCCGACCTTCAGATGCTACCTCCATCAAGACGGCAAATCTACCAATTCCTGGAAGTGACATTGGGGTTCGAAAGACTAGCGCAGCAACCACGTCCACTGCAACACCCGTTACGACTATGCCTCATTTCTCGACACGACGACCAATTAGAGGAACCGGACCAGATCCACGTCCAGGCAGTAGCGGAAGTTTGGCGGCAGAGGATCTGACTCGCGCTTTGAAACGAGGCGACAGCAGCGGCCACTGGAGCACCACTAGTATGGATTCTGGAGCTGGTTCGCCATGGCGCTTTTCTATTGGCAGCATTTTCAGTGGCAAGAGACGAAGCTCGACGGCTACAACGGCTGAACTTGAGCCTCCCACGGGAACTGGACCTGACACCCCAGCCTCCAAGGGCGAAAAATCGCGTAGCAAGCTAGCTGAAATGGTCCAAGAAGCCCATCTCAACTCGTATGCTGGTCGAGCGCAGCGACAGCGGGACTTGAGAAACTCCGATGGAAGCTCGAGTACTGCCAAGCCAGATGCGGACGGAACCGAAAACAAACCAGAGGAAATCGCCGAGCAAACAATTCGCGTACCGGAACGAAAGCCTAACCCGGAGGGCGCGTACGAATCACCTTTGAAGACCTCTATTGATGAAGATGGTATTGTTGATGTTGATGTACCTCTTCCGGGTGATCTATCCTTCGATACAGCCATAAGCTCTCCATCAAGTACTGGTTATCTACCACAACTCGGCCTTGGCCACGGCTTGGACGGACTTGAGCAATATTCTCGTGAATTTGATACATCTTTGAATGTAGGTGGTTGGCTCCACCATTACCACCCCGATTTCTCTTTGCAGGCTATCCCTCCCCAGGATGCTCTTCTTGAGGAAGTGAAAGCTTCGATGCGAGATGAACCAACTCCGGTTCTCAGCTCCACTCCTCTGCCTGATAATGGCCACCCAGATCGATGGGTCGATATCTGTAGTGCTATTATCGCAGATACGACCAACTTTAGCATCAAGAGAATTCGATATCGAAGACTTGTAAAGCCTCGTGATGTTACTCAAGCTACTAACGCCAATGGTGCAAATACCTCGCGCTATGGAAACGTCTATTCTGCCGCACAGTTGACTCCTGGTGCAGGAATATATGGTCCTCCTATTGAAGAAAGATTCATTGAAGAGCCCATTATTGCTATGGATGAAACCCTGATTCAAGCAGTTGAGAAGATCATCGCACAATCGGGACAAACATCTACCACATCCTCCTTGTGTTCGTCAAGATCCACTTCCCGCAAGGCCAATTCTCTTAGAACAGGTGGAAATAGAGACCGGTCAAATTCCGATGCCAAGACTGCTACAGTTCCGGAGCATAAACTTGAGGTCCCGAGGACAGAGTGTAGTAAGCTTCTCCTTAATGCTTTGGAGACAGTCGCCAAAGAGGTTGAAGAGAGTGTGAAGCGGGGAGAGGATTCGGTTCTGGAGAGAACTGAGAATCATTTGAGAGAAGGTGTTCGGAATTGGTTGGTGAATATCGAGACTATGGAGTGATTTCCCTAATGTCATTCATCGATCTTTGGGAGAGGATTTCTTTTCTGTTTTCACTTTTTTTTTTGTGTTGATTTTCATTTTCGTCTGTACGACTACCGGATTTTGCGATGATGGCACGAAATGGAGATACCCAATCCCCTTGTGTAGGGTTAGACGAAGCGGATACAACTCACGATTTACAGACGGGGATTTGCGAGTTTTCAAGGGGTGGGCCAGTGGTGTTTGCAGGAAATGGTTGACTGGGTTGTGTTTTAGGGAGTTTGTGGTGTTTTTTTTTTTTCAGATTTCAGATCGTTTTGATTTTCGCGCTATGAATGATACCAGGTGGCTTAGATCTTGTTAGGGGAGTTTCAGGGGGGACACGAATACTCAGTGATGAATGCAATGTGATGCGATGGATGACATGGGATGGGATGGGATGTACAGTACCGAATTGCGAGACTGGTGTGCTGTGGTTTGCAATGGGTGGGTAATGGAATGTTTATGAAAGGGATCCTGAGGAGATAATCTAGTCTAGTCTAGTCTAGGTAGTTACGTACCATTGAAATTCTACGATTAGGAAATCTACTTTGTGGGGTCATTGGATGAGTCTTGTTGTTTTCTTGTACATGTGCATGTGTGCGATTTTATCTTATTGTTTTATATCCTTTTTGGGGACGAAGGTTTGATAGCTACCGTAAGATAATCCATTGGGCCATTAGAATAAAAGTATAGTCAGCAGCACAGGGTTACTCTTACTGTACTTCTAGGCAGAAGCCCTTTTTTTTGAAGCTTACGTCGGTGCGTACGTACTGTACTATATCGCTTCTATAAATGTGGCTTGATCATTCAGCATGAAATTTATGAGTGGAATTGAATGGTGTTGAGAATGGAATAAGTGGTCAATATGCGGATTAGGGGCTTGGGGTGTATGTGGAATTAGGTAGGCTTTTTGTGGGTGCTGTTAGTGGTTGGTTGGTTGGTAGGGTCGTAGTTGGTTGGGTTGAAGTTGGTGGTTGGGTTGAAGTTGGTGGTTGGGTTGAAGTTGGTGGTATGTAAGATTACGACTTCGGAGTTGGAGTTCTGCCTAGATACTATGGATATTTACGGGGTTTGATGGGTTGTGGTATGAGCTTGGTGAGAGAGGTGGTAGAGGATAGTGATTGGATTTTGGATATGGAAGAGGGAAGAGGGAAGGGTGGAAAGGGTGGGAAGGAGGGTGGGTATATAGTCTTGGTACTCCTCGTCTTCTTTTTGCTTTTCTTTAGATAACTTTATCTTGGTAGTATACTTGATTACTTTCTCTCTTCCTTGATACACCGTTTATCATTATCCTTCTTTTGAAAGTTAACTTAAGTCCCAAACGACGACAAAATTCCGAATCATATCACCTTCTCAGGCCACTGACGTTGAAACGATACTTAAACCTTCTTGAATTATACTTTACAGGTTTTATACATATGCAGGAAGTAACGAACGCGATGCCTGGAGAGAGATTCCGTATCGAGGAGGTTGGTGTGGAGGATGTTATGGAGGTGGCAAGGCTGTGAGTGCATTCTTTGGTTTTCGGGGTTTTGGTACCTTCTCTTCTTTTCTTTTGTTGGTTTTTGGTTTTTTTGGTTGTGAAAGAGATGTTTATGGTCCTGATTTTGGTGCTTCTTCTCCGAATTCCGAGGGAAGTAAGGAGGTAATGGGTCTTGATAAGATCCAGATATTAAGCCTGAAGCCTTTGGGAGGTTAAGGGGTTAAGACGAAGCGTTCATATCAACTAAGGAGAAATACTCCGCGCCCAGGAACCAGATTCAAGTCCAGAAAGGTGCTCGAAAGTACTATAGGAGGGGTTATGGAAGTATTACGGAAGCGAATCCTTGATAGTTCAATATCCTCGCAATAGTACTTCTAATCTTCTTTTGGATAATCTCGTGTACTGTTTCCCAAAACAGCCACAGGAAAACCAATACCACTTCTCTCCCCTCGAATTCTACAGCTGGATATTCCAAGTATCAAAAAACCGGACTTCCAATCTCTACCTCCCCCCCCACCCCCAAAAGACATCTAACACCCCCACCAAGCCAAAAATCCTGCCTTACCTCCCCCCGCACCCTCCTCGAACTCAAAAACTGCAAGGACGAAGATATACTCGCCTACCACGCCGCAGGGATCCTAGGTACCATCCGCGCGGCGGAGAAATCGAAGGGGAAATGTGGGGTTTTTAAGGTTGTTGAGGATGAGTGTTTGGTATTGGAGGAAGGGGGAGAGGAGGGGGAAGAGGGGAGGAATTTGAATGAGGGGAAGAAGGGAAAGGGGAGGATTGTTGCGTTTGCTGTTTGGGGGTGGGAGGTTGAGGTTAGTTGTGTATTCCTTTTTTCGGGTGGAGAAGGGGGATAGGGGATGGGAGGATGAGTGAAGAGGAAGTGAAGGGAGGTTTCCAGGACTAGAGAAGAGCCAATGAAAGGAATATATATAGGCAGTGAACTACATAGCAGCAGAACGCACAGCCCATACCCACCCACCAGGACGAAATATCCCTCTGAACCAGAAGTTCTACAAGGAGTTGAATGAGATGGAATCTAGATATCGTCCTGGAGTCCCTTATTTCGGTGCGTCTTCTAAATTTCTTGTTGTTGGTCTACTTTCGTGATTCCGGATTAGTGTCTCCTCGCTTTCTAAAAGTCTAGAGAAGGGGAGGTACAACTACATGTCTGTTTCAGCTTGCAAGCACACCTCATTGCTACAGCTACACATTCCAAAACATCCACCCTCCCTGCCATCTCGCCATCTAATCAACACACCACACTAACACCCACAAAGAACTAATGGACCTCTGCACCGCACCCTCACACCGCGGTCTCTGGCTCGCCAGTCGTCTCATAGCAATCGGTCTCGAACGCGCTGATAAAGAAGGGAACCCCTGCTTCTTGTCTGGTTCACCGATGGGAGTACCGGTTTACAAGAAGAAGTGGTTTGAGGAGGTGGGTAGAATGAGTATTGAGCTTGGGGAGTGGGGGGGAGAGGGGGTGCATGTTCATGGTTAGTTGTGTTTTGTTTTTATGTTTGGTGATGGGGAGTTTGGGGGTGGGAAGTTTGGGGGGG